TGTTCAGTCCCCTTTTTAAACAGATGAATGGGCGACTTCCCGTGGCTCCAATCGCCAGCCAAAAGGGCACCCGGACCGGTGTATTTTGTAGGGAGAACTGCTGCGCCAGAACACTGACAAAGCAGCCGCGCAGGGCAAAGCAGCTGTGCCGGCTGACACAGCTGTGCTGGCCGAAACAGCCACGCTGGCAACCCGTGGGGGTCCTCCGCCTGGGAATTTCCTAGTCTGTCGGCAATAAAAAAGCAGCATCCACTCACCCTCTGCACTTTCACTGGGAGCTGCAATCCTGAGCTGTTCCTAAATGGCCATCTTGGATTAATCCCCAGATTTTCTTTTTTTCATTGCTGATGGGCATCTAGGTTGATTTCATGTCTTTGCTATTGTGAATAGTGCTGCAATGAACATATGCATGCATGTGTCTTTACAGTAGAATGACTTCTATTTCTTTAGGTATATACCTAGTAATGGGATTGTTGGGTTGAATGGTAGTTCCATTTTAAGTTCTTTGAGAAATCTCTGGACTGCTTTCCACAGTGGCTGACATAATTTAAATTCCCAACAGCAGAGTATAAGTGTTTTCTTTTCTCCACATCAAGTTTACATTTATAAGTGTCAATTAGAAGGTAAAACAGGGCCTGCCATAGGCAGACATATTGAAGGCAGAGAGAAAAATGGCAGGGCTGACAAGACAGCCCAATCAGCGCAGGTGCTCCAGGTGCCTTAAGCAAAAGCACAGGCTCTTATCTCCTCACCAAGCCCTGAAGATGACCCTGTTTCCAAATCCAGAGCTAGGTCACAGTGACAACCTTGAGGAATCCAGACCAGGCCTAATTCTACTCAAGAGATCCAGATATCCCACACTCAGGCCTTACAAAGAAATCAAATATAGGCACACAGATAAAAGCATCCATGTTAAAAAGTGGGCACCTTAAAATACAGCTTCAGAATCTTGGTGATATCAGCCAGACTAGAGAATGAGGTTATTTTCTTATCTGTTTGTACCTTTTCTACTTTAGTGTGAAATGAAGTTGATTTTACATCTCTCAGTATCCTCTGGTTCCAGTAGCTGATCTTTAATATCTGATCTTATAAGGAAGGAACTTATATTACCCGTTACATTTTTGCCTCCATGATTCTGAATATCACTACTTTCCCCCTCTTGGCTTCACAATATTCCTTAAATTAAGAAAAAATATTTAGAAAATTGAACAGTAAAGTCTTGACAAACTGTTCTTGGAGGAGCTGTGCTCTTTTGTACTGGCCAGTTTTAAAACTCTTAATAAAAGGGGTCTTAAACTTTTAAATACAAATGGAAAAAAGGCAAAAAGAAATGAACGAAGTGGCATTCCTGGTGAAATTGGTCAGAGGATTTTCAGACTCGAAAGCGTCCTGATAGTTTTATGTGATCCAATCCAGTTCCTGAAAAATCTCTGCCAACAGGTAACAGGTCTTCGAAAGCTTTTGAAGCCAAAGGCTCCCCACCAGCCAGCCCATCTCTCACTAAGTTCTCAGCCTCATTAAGAATGAGAAACAGATACCACGGCACCAACCTGTCTATGAGAGCACAGCAAGACAAATGTAATTGCCTGAACCAGGAATATAAATCAGCAACTCTCAAATTATTCATATTTACACCCACTCCAATTTGGTTGTCTTTCCTTTATAATTTGGCCATACATTGATGTCAAGTGTATAATTTTATCTGGGCTTTATCAGTTATTGCCCAGAGCCATGATTACATGGTGCAGGGAACTTCCCCCACTGAGTGAGTCTATCTTTAGTATATTCTTGATAACCACTCTTACATACATAAAAAATCAAAAGGAAAGTCTTGGTTTTCTTAAGTGGCTCCAGAATCCCTGAATATAACATTTAGAAGTAATTTATCAACTGAAACTATCGAGCTTTTTGCCGCCACTACAATTTTTCAAAGCAAAGTGTTCTTATTCCTACTCTTTGTTATTTTTATCAAATTGCAACAGAAATTTTAGGGACTTCCATATTGACCATTCAATCAAGGACCAAGGTCTGTTTCCATCTCGCCAGTGTCTTCTTTATTGCATAAGACTGGCCTTTGAACAATTGGAACGACAGTGAGATGGATAATGGTGTGATTTCTGGAAGAACATTTTACAAACAAAATAAATGACAGCTCTCCAATCAGGGATTCAAAAGATAATTTATTAGTTTGAGAAGAGGAGTCACATACTATACCCAGTAATATGGTTATTTTTGTGCCTTTATCTTAAAAATATATTTAAACAAAAACAAAGATAATATTGAATTTTCCCATAAACTTTGCTTTCTTATTTACAGTGCTATATTGTAAATAACATTCCATTATACACAAATTAAGGACTGTGCATTACTGTATGTTCTCTTTACATATTCTTTCATAATATAGCCCATACAGCTCGAAGTTATGCAACATTTTAGCTTAGAAAAGCTAGATGAAAGAAGTACAAACTGTATCAATCAGACTATTATTTTAAAAGGTTCTGACATTAATTCTCCGCTAGGTTGTTTCACTGAAACCATTCTTTGTTAAAGAAAAATGCCCCATATAAGGGATGAGAACAACAGTTTAAGTTACCACAGGATCCACTTAAACTGGTTAACAAATAAAAACACCTTATTACTTACTACTGTTATTAAATGAAGCGCTACCACTGTCAAACATTTAAACATGTAGATTTACTCTTCAGTTCTGACACATAACATCAGTGACAGTTGGTATCTCTTGATGAAATAAAAAATGTTTCCTGCAACTTTAGGTTTTACTTGTAAACAGTTAAAGCATACATTATGTAAAGATGATTTAACCATTCCTGGTCACATAATGAGGAGTTTCTATTTCATCCAGGGAGAAGCAAACACACATACTGCACACAAACGCGCACGCGCGCGCGCACACACACACACACACACACACACACACACAGTCCCGCTCACCCGCCAAAGGCCCGTGTGTCACTAAGCGCTAACTACAGCAGCACTTGTGTCTCGAGCAGTGCACGAAGTTGCAATAGGAATTATAAAACAAGGAAGATAAAACAGCCAACTTCAATTAAAAACCCCAAAAAGCTCAGGTTCTGAAATGCCTCTCAGACACTTCACACTCAGCCTGAAGGGTCAGTTCACTGGGCTCTCCAGGCGGCACACTCCACCTTCAATTGCCACGGACTGTCCTGCCACCGCACCAGGAGGGAGTCTTGAAATGTGAGTCTGCAGAGAGAGAGACAGGAGAGCATCAGAGGGGTCAGTGGTGTCCCTTGTTACACCTGCACCCATGTCCAAAAAAGGTGGAGAAAATACCAGAGCATTAGGCCTTCACTTTGCTTCAGAGCATCCACAGACTGCACCATTGGTAAGCTTCAGTTACTGAAAGATCTTTTGGTCAAATCGCTCAGGAAATATTTACTGAGCATCTGCTACATGCCAAGCACAGCACTAGCAACTTGAGATACAGAAGTGACCAAGTTAGCCAAGGCCCCCGACCACACAGAATGTATAGTTTAGTCATATTCACAAGAGTAGCAGTTTTAATGTCAGCTATACTGAGTATATTCATTATCTGAAAACTAATAATTTATATGTTTTGTCCTCTGAACAGAGTAACTAAGGATACTTAATACGTGTTCATACCCTAAATTTATTCCTTAAAGAATTTAAGTAGCTTACAAAAATTAAGAAAATTCAATAGACTAAAGTAGGAGATGAAACGAGAAGAAAAATAAGAGCTTACAAAATAAAGATGGAAGTGGGGTTAACGCAAATCTAAGCTGAGGAGTTGGTACCTGTGCCGGAGGCAAGACTGCTGCCCTGTCTCTCAGTTTCCTAGTAGCACAGATCAGGCAGGTGATTCATGTAGCATCATCACAGGAAACCCATTGCTCCGATGAGAACAATTGTTCCTGGCACTGAGACCAAGGAGCCATTTCTCCTATAGGTCTTTGTAAAGGGGGCACTGTGTTTAGTGACTGAGTGAAGACATTAGCTTTACGACAGGGAATTTTGTAGGGCTGAGTGTTACATCACCCAAAGGAGGCTGGTGCTGGAGGCTCTGGTAGAAGACAGTAAGCACTTCACTCTATTTCACGAGGGGTCAGGATGATGTCAGTTAAGAATTCCTCTTTTTGGTGTACTGGCTTAATCCAAGGATAGATAAATGTCTGGAATTTCTAAGAGGGGCTGCATAAACTTCAGGCAATCTTCTCTGCTTGTTTCTCTAAACGAGCTTTCCCTAAGTACTGAAACATGGTGAGTCTCATTGGAAGGCAAGTAACCTTGGTCTGAAAAAGTGTAAGCCAAGATGTGTTTGAAGCTTCCTGTGGAGATCTCAATGGGGCATCAAATCATAGAAACAGTGGGAGCTGTTTAAGAAAATGTTTTATATGAGCTTATCTCCAAAGTTCTTTTTTAGAGAAGTGAGTTTAAATTTCTCTTTAGCCTAAAATAGACCACTTTCTACAACAAACCTGGACATCAGCATAAAAAATACAATGAACTGTTTTACACTGAGCAAGTGTCTAAGGATTGTGTAGACTCTAGAGTATCCTACAAGCAGAATAACTTAACAAGGTACCTTTACAATATTTAAATAGCAGCGTACTTTTATTCAAATTTGGAACTAATGTGAAATAACACATGAAAATGATACATGAAAAAGCAGCAGACATCCATTTTGGGTCATCTCCTTCCACTCCTTGTTGCATGCCCTGCTCACACATCTCTCTGTGATTTCATGTCTCTAATACCTTTTTCTGGCTCTTTCTCAAGGGAAGACCTCCTTGACCAGGCCCAACTCAGAAGCTCTTCTTCCAGCTCCTATAGCACCCATATGAGCATTTCTCAGCCAGCCTTAGTTTCAAGTTTTTAGGTTTTTGTAATTGAAAGTTGGTTGTAGGAAGAAGCTTGTGTTACGTACATCTCAGTTTCCCTGTACCTGACCATGTGTTTCACACAGAAGCACACTCTGGAAATGCTGAGTGGGTAAATGACGGAAACAGACCACTCTAGGGCTATGTTGATGTAAACATGCAGGATCTTAAGACACTCTGCTCTTTCTGTTCAAGAGATAGCCCAACTTCTCATACAGCGGTAGCTGCATCCCTGGTGAAAGTGAAGGCCAAATTTTCCACCTTCCAACTGATCGTGCTGTTAGAAAAGGGATGGAACTTTAGATTCTCAGATGCAAACAGCTCCATACCAATGGAATTTACTGGCTGTGTAGTATAATTTGCTGCTTTCTTGCTAATTCCCTGAGATGCACAGACCAATTCTTGAGGTTAACACACCTTGAAAAACTATCAACTTGTAAATTAAACTGACTATCCAAAGCCAATATTGTTAGGGCTATATCTTTCTTATAAAACCAAACACACTGGATTAACACATTTAGCTCAAAGATTTTGAAACAAGAAAATTAAAATATAGAAAGTATTTAATTACCTGATATCTTAATCACAATCTAAGTAGTAGCTGAAATTTCCTATCATTCATACTCAATGTTAAGATCGTTTTTTTTTTTTTCTTAAATTTACTTATTTTACTTTAGGTGCATACTATATCTGGCATTTCTCTCCATGTTCTCCCCACCCCCCACCGTCTCTCCCCTACCCACCCAATTGCCCCCAGTGTGTGATGCTCCTCTCCTTGAGTCCATGTGTTCTCTTGTTCAACACCCACCTATGAGTGAGAACATACGGTGTTTGGCTTTCTGTTCTTCTGTCAGTTTGCTGAGAATGAGGGTTTCCAGATTCACCCAAGTCCCTACAAAGGACACAAACTCATTGTTTTTTATGGCTGCGTAGTATTCCATGGTATATATGCACCACATTTTCTTTGTCCAGTCTATCATTGATGGGCATTTGCGTTGGTTCCAGATCTTTGCTATTGTACACAGGGCTGCAATGAACATATAGGTGCATTTGTCTTTACAGTAGAACGATTTGTAGTTCTTTGGGTATGTAATGGGATTGCTGGATCAAATGGAATTTCTGTTTCTGGAACCCTGAGAAATCACCACACTGTCTTCCACAATGGTTGAACTAATTTACACTCCCACCAACTGTGTAAGAGTGATCCTATTTCTCCACATTCCCTCCAGCATCTGCTGTCTCCAGATGTTTTAATGATTACCATTCTAACCGGTGTGAGACAGTATCTCAGTGTGGTTTTGATTTGCATTTCTCTAATAACCAGTGACGATGAGCATTTTTTCATGTTTGTTGGCCTCATATATGTCTTCTTTTGAAAAGTGTCTGTTCATATCCTTCACCCAATTTTGAATAGGGTTGTTTGTTTTTTTCTTGTATATCTGTTTTAATTCCTCGTAGATTCTGGATATTAGCACTTTGACAGATGGGTAGATTGCAAAAAATTTTTCCCATTCTGTTGGTTGCCAATTTGCTCTAATGATGGTTTCTTTTGCTGTACAGAAGCTCTGGAGTTTAACTGGATCCCATTTGTCTATCTTGGCTTTTATTGCCATTGCTTTTGGTGTTTTAGTCATGAAGTCCTTGCCTATGTCTATGTCCTGGATGGTTTTGCCTACATATTCTTCTAGTGTTTTTATAGTGTTAGGTTTTATGTTTAAATCTTTGATCCATCTGCAGTTAATTTTAGTGTAAGGTGACAGTTAGGGGTCTAGTTTCTACTTTCTACACACTGCTAGCCAGTTTTCCCAGTAGCATTTATTAAACAGGGAGTCTTTTCCCCATTGCTTGTTTTTGCCAGATTTGTCAAAGATCAGCTGGTTGCAGGTGTGTGGTGTTTCTTCTGGGGTGTCTGTTCTGTTCCATTGGTCTATGTGTCTGTTTTGGTACTAGTACCATGCTGTTTTGATTACTGTAACCTTGTAGTATAGTTTGAAGTCCGGCAGTGTGATGCCTCCAGCTTTGTTCTTTTTGCTTAGGATTGTCTTGGTTATGCAGGCTCTTTTGTGATTCCATATGAAGTTTAAAGTGGTTTTTTACAGTTCTGTGAAAGAGGTCATTGGTGGCTTGATGGGGATAGCATTGAATCTGTAGTTTACTTTGGGCAGTATGGCCATTTTCATGATACTGATTCTTCCTAACCATGAGCATGGAATGTTTCTCCATCCATTTGTGTCCTCTCTTATTTCTTTGAGTAGTTTGCAGTTCTCCTTGAAGAGGTCCTTTACATCCTTTGTTAGTTGTATTCCTAGGTATTTTATTCTCCTTGTAGCAATTGTGAATGGGAGTTCACTCTTGAATTGGCTCTCTGTTTGTCTGTTATTGGTATATAGAAATGCTTGTGATTTCTGCACATTGATTTTGTATCCTGAGACTTTGCTGAAGTTGCTTATCAGTTTCAGGAGCTTTTGGGCTCAGACGATGGGGTCTTTTAGATATACAATCATGTCATCTGCAAATAGAGACAATTTGACTTCCTTCTTTCCTATTTGAATATCCTTTATTTCTTTTTCTTGCCTGATTGCTCTGGCTAGAACTTCCAATACTGTGTTGAATAGGAGTGGTGAGAGAGGGCATCCTCATCTACTACCTGATTTCAAAGGGAATTCTTCCAGCTTTTGCCTGTTCAATATGATATTGGCTGTAGGTTTGTCATATGTAGCTTTTATCATTTTATGATACCTTCCGTCAATACCTAGTTTATTGAGTTTTTAGCATGAAGGGCTGTTGAATTTTATCGAAGACCTTCTCTGCATCTATTGAGATAATCATGTGGTTTTTGTCTTTGGTTCCGTTTATGTCATGGATTACATTTATGGATTTGCATATGTTGAACCAACCTTGCATCCCTGGGACAAAGCCTACTTGGTCATGATGGAGAAGCTTTTTTATGTGCTGTTGCAATCTGTTTGCCAGTATTTTATTGAAGATTTTTGTGTCGATGTTCATCATGGATATTGGCCTGAAGTTTTCTTTTTTAGTTGAGTCTCTGCCCGGTTTTGGTATCAGGATGCTGTTGGTCTCATAAAATGAGTTAGGGAGGATTCCCTCCTTTTGTATTGTTTGATACAGTTTCAGAAGGAATGGAACCAGCTCCTCTTTGTACATCTGGTAGAATTCAGCTGTGCACCCCTCTGGACCTGGACTTTTTTTGGTTGGTAGGCTATTGATTGCTGCCTCTACTTCAGCCCTTGTTATTGGTCTATTCTGGGTTTCAACTTCCTCCTGGTTTAGTCTTGGTAGAATACAGGTGTCTAGGAATTTATCCATTTCTTCCTGGTTTACTGG